CGATTGGGGCAAGATGGGTTTTCGTATAGCAACTCAACAAAAAATCTTAAAATTAGGTGAAAAAAAAACTGTATTTGCATCTTGTATTTTAAAACACCAGTTGGTTATTTTAAATGTTATTAACGTAATTTTATACGCATAAGTTTACGTTTTGCGCTTAAAAAAAAATTCCTCATTTTCGGTTTCATATAATGGATGGTGTCCTTCAAGTTTAACTTCTTTAGAAGAAGTTTTTTGCAATTTGTTTTTATTTTTTGTTATTTTAGTTAGAGTTATTAGTAGTTTTTAAAATTTTATAAAATAGGAGGTAAAAATTGCATAATAAGTTATCTTGCCCCGGTCACGTGACCACATGACAAATTTATGAGCTTTTTATTTTAATATTTATTTCAAACTTTTATATTTGCAAACTGAAAATTCATACAGGCAATGAAGGATTTTAATAACATAAACATACTGTGAAAGTATTATTGCTTCACGATTGATAGTTTTGCAATAACCCAGGGCTTTCAAAACGTTCGCCATGTTGCCCAGCTTTCCCCTACGTTTTCTTTTATAATATAAATCAGAGATATATACATTGAAACTATATTTTATTGTTAAACTATATTTTGCCTAGTAATGACGCGTTTTTTGGGGCTTAATTATAAGACTAAATTCTTTTAGTCCCGGTCATGTAAATTTTTTTTTTTTTATAAGTTACAACTGTAAATTTTTTTTATTGGCAAAAAATTGTATAAAAACTTTGTGGTATCATAAAATAAAATTGTTTATAGCGAAAAAAACCCAGACCGAAAACTCTTAATTTTTAAAAATATTTTTTTTAAATAACAACTGCTTGTTCAAATTTAAATAAGATTTTAAATTAATTTTTTAGGTAAAATGAACATCATAGTTTAATGATATGATCTGTTCTGTTTGTTTATTGGCAATTTTTGTTATTATTATAAGCTCATTCTTGATCGGAATTCTAGTATTTTTTGTGAAAATTGATAGAAATATTGTATTTTGACAACTATATAGTTAATATACGTCAGAACCTATTAGAACTAGGATCTATAGTAAAATGAGAAACTTTTTCAAAATTCAGATTTCAACTAAATTTATGTTAACGCCAATGAGCGAAAGTGATCTGAAGACTCCAAAATGGTGCTTTTTAGATTCACTATTAGGGGTAGTAAAATGGTTTCAAAAATTATGTAAAAAAAAGAAAAGTTTCTTTAAATATTTAAAAAAAAAAAAAAAAAAAAACCATCTAAAGCTCTTGTTTGGACATAATACGCTGATAAAACCATGCTAATTTCCAAATAAAAGAATTCGAATAACTTGTAAATTGCCTTAACTACACCTAGAAGTCTTTGTTTAACGAGCAACCTGTTTTTGATTTAGGAAAAATTCAATTAATTTTTAAAACAAATACTTTTCAAAAGTTCGAATAATAAAAAAAGGAAATAAAAACGTGTTGTTAAATGCGATGTTAATCAAATTTTAAAATTTAAAGTTATAAAAATTGTTAAAAATTGGATAGGGGACCAAAAATATTGTTTGATATTCCTAAAAGTTCAAGATATTAAGGCTCGAGATATCGAGAAGGTTTTAGGCCAAACGAGTGCGTTATGCCAAAGAAACCAGGAAAATGTTGAAGAGTATTCGATATAACGTATAAATTATTCGATATAACGTATATATTTTTAAAGGGCTTAGCGGAAAAATGGTCTAAGCCACAGTTACTTCATTTTTAGTAAACTGTAAAAGATTTCAAGGATCTTTCTAAAAATAACAGGAAAAAGTTATCAATCATTATCAGAAGGATAGTATTTATTGTTGAAACAGGTGAAAAAAAAGCATATTAATCTAATAGAAAATAAAATTTCAAAAAGTATTGGAATCATGTATAAAACTAGATATATGTTGAATAAAAACTGTTTAAGATCTATTTACTTTTCATTTATTTATAGCTATATTAGTTATTGTAAGATCGCTTGGGCAAGGTCTTATCCGTCAAGACAAACTTGTATCTTAAAAAAACAAAAACAAGCAAGCCGCCTTATATTAAATGCTAATAAATACACCAGTGCCAATCCACTGCTTTGTAAGCTTGGAGTGCTGAATATTTACCAATTAAATATTTTTAATATTCTTTTATTCATGTTTAGATTAAAATATCATATGCTACCTAATATTTTTGAAGATCTTTTCATTATTATAAATCATAAATATCAAACAAAGCATTCATTGCTTAATTATCAGGTACCAAAAACTTTGTTAAAATAATCTGAACTCTCAATAAATTACCAAGGGCCACATTTGTGGAACTCATTTTTCTCAAATAATAATAAAACTACAACTTCAATCCAAGCTTTTAAAAGTATTTTAAAAAAACAGTTATTTGATCATCATGTATCTCAAATACTATTTTATTTTTAATCTTTATTGTATTCTCTTTTATTTTTTATTTTTAAACTTTTCCTTTTGTTAAAAAGCGACATCACCCTTTACATCATTACTTATCTTTATATTTTTAATGTATTCGGAAGAAAAAAAAAATGTAACACTTCTTTATTTAAAAGTATTTAATATTATCTTACTGAGATTGTAATATATATATATATATATATATATATATATATATATATATATATATATATATATATATATATATATATATATATATATATATATATATATATATATATATATTTCTTATATGATGGATTATTTATTTTGTATGTTATGTAAATAGTACAACGGGGCTGGATGATAGACTTTTGTCTTCTACCTGCCTGTCATATCTTAACTTAAACAGAATATGTTGTAAATAATTTATTATTAGCATGACGAAAATATATATAAAATTGTCTAAAAAAAAAAAAATACACTGGTATATCTATTAAAAAATTAAGACACTATATTACTGTGTTCTGCAATAACAAAAAGGTCAGGCAGCTTTGCCACTTCAAATTTTTGTAAATATTGTTAATAGAGTTGGTTAAACTAAACGGATGTTTTGTCTATGACTTGTTAAAGATTCTTTTATATATGTAGCATATACTAATTTGTGTCTTTGTCACCAGAATCATCTGTTAGACCCAAATCAGTTGCCTCCTCGTCACCTTTAAGAGCAAAATAATAGGGATGATGGACAGGCGGTATGAACTGTATTAGTTCAAAAAGATCACTCAGCTTTTCTTTTGTGAGTTTTATACCGTTGGGGTAAAAAGACTCAAGTTCAACATTGATAGTGCCAGATGGCCGTCCACGATTTTGCATTGTTACGTCCAGCTACATAAATCTGTCACATTCTAAATGCGTTTGCTTTATTTGAAATGAGCGTCGTGACCTTTTTTCAATTTTTTTTAAGCATGTCTTTAGCCATGAAACCTTTTCGCCATTTATTATTTTTTTTCTACTGGTTATCCCACTCTCCAATGATTTTGTACTGAGAAATTCATGGTCTCCATTTTTCTCACAATAAATTTTGGGGCTCTCTTCTTTGCATTTTTAATAAGGTCTATCCAATGATCTGTAACAAATATTCTGTCCTTCATTATTTTGGCTTTTTCAATCACAGCAAAGTCTCGGTCGCAGGAGGTAAATGATCGCATCCCACTTTCAATTTATGTATTTCGACACATATTCAATACAAAATTCAATTTACATTTTCACCATCCGCAATCAGATACATGTCAAAAATGTGATCTATTTAGCAATAAAATTAGGTCCTGGTACAAACAATTTCTGTTCAATGGTTTTTAGTGATGGAGACGTGCAAAATGTATTGTAACATAAGAGACATTTTTAGGTTACGATTATGTCCACCTCAACTATCACTATACAATATTAAATAGGTCAGAGTTTCTGGTATGTGTCGAAAAACATGCTCGAAAATACACAAACCTATCTCTTGAGTACCTCTATATGCTTGTTCCTCACTATTGTCTTTTATAGTAGGCTATTCCTGTACTAAGCACTGGTGTCGGAAGAGTTTTCTGTAAGACGAAAACTAATACCCTCTTGTATGAATTTGTATGTACATCTAGTGTATCTTTTTTCATTTTTTTTTTACCTTTTCAGTCATCTCTTGATGAAAAATAAGGTCCCTTCTAGCAGTGTTCTTTTCTTCACCCTCTGAGAGACACCTAATTTTATTGTTAAATATATCACATTTTTGACATGTATCTAATTGCGGATGGTGAAAATGTAACTTGAATTTTGTATTGAATATGTGTCGAAATACAAAAATTGAAAGCAGGGTACGATAATTTTCATTGCAATTTCAAACATATTTCTCGTACATCGTTGACATTCGTAAAGTTGGAGGCAAATAATTTCTGTACTGGTTGTCCTTTCGGCTATAGTGGGATTGGTACGTTGGAAATAAGCGAATAAATCTTTGAAGATATTTGGTGTCTTCATCACTACTTTTATTTTGTGGAGCCAATTTACCCCTGTGGTCTTCGATAGATGTACCATCTATTTTTTTCCTTGCTAAAATATTTGTTATTGTCCCATCAGGGATCTGCAATGTGTTTTTGATGTATGTTCAAACCTTTTTAACATTTCCACATGTTAGTTTATATGAACGACTATTTGCCCTACGCGAGTATTTTGATGCAGTATACGTCCTTTGTTTTTCTTTTACATCAACAGAACCAAAGGGTTCTGTTGATGTAAAAGAAAACTAACTTTTATTTTCTAACTTTTACACCATGACCTGGGTTTTTTAAATCCCAGTTCATGGTGTAAAAGTTAGAAAAAATTTGATTACGGCGAGCAACTGTTATTTTACTGCTGCTGGATTACAACCACAATCTTTGTTAATAAAATGTTTGGTTCAAATACTTTGCCCTTTGTTGTAACATATCCTTTCCCTGTTGACCTTTTCTGTTTCAGAATATTTCTTTTGCCTAGTTCTGGATGGGCAACTCGCTTTTTTTTCAACAACAAACGACATACTTAATGTATAGTTTGCAGTATTTATCCGGAAAATTTCAAAAATGTGTTAGATTTTTGTGAGTGGTTAGACCACTTTTCTGCTGAACCCCTCACTTATAATAATTCTTAGAAAAATAATATAAATATTAATAGTAGAAAAAATTCGGAAAAATAAATTATGGCAGCAAGGAGTGATAAAACTCTTTTAAAATTTTCTAATTTTAACTTATTGAAGCCACCTTCAGACATAAACGAAAATGCAAGTAATCTATGTGCGAAAATATTTCCTTCCAAAAAAATTGTCGTTGGTAACGAATGTGGTTGTTTTGTTTTACCTCTTGGTGAATCAATGATATATGATCAAGTCGGGCTACTTAAAAACAAAGAGGTGACGTCTATTTCTAACATAGACGAAAATAGTTTTTATGCAGCTTCTGGCAATTTTGTATATTTGTTTGATTTAAGATTGAATCTAGATAAATATGTTCATTTTTATTGTGAAAATGATGATGAAATCAATCAAATACAAGTTAATAATGAACTTCTCAATCTTGCATGTTGCGATGATTCTGGTGAAGTAAAAATTTTTGATTTAAAAGTAAATAAGTTGTTTAAAACACTTCGAAGAAGACATAAAAATATTTGCTCATGCATTAACTTTATTTCTAACAAACAGAATGAGATTGTTACAGGTGGGATGGATTCACAAATAATAAGATGGAACTTTCACCAGGTTAAACCTCTACAAATTGTAAATACTCAAGATATTTTAAAAGAAACTGGAGATCACTCTGTATACATGTTTAATCCACCTTTGATATTTTCAATGGATGTTTCTAAGGATTCTAATTTTTTAGCAAGTGGATTAGGTAAAAATAAATTTAAGTAGTTTTAATATTGTATAATATTAGCAATTTTATATTAACAAATAAAAATGTTTTATTATATTATTATTATATATGGTATCAATAAAATTTTTTTTCAAAATTTTGAAACTCATGGTTAAACTTAATAGTATATTTATTTTTTTGCTTGGTGGTAAATTTAAAATAAGAATTAATTAGCTCCAAAATAAAATGTACATAGCTGGATGGTGGATAATTTTTTTAAAATAAAATGTACATAGCTGGATGGTGGATAAATTTCAAAATGAACTTTAGTAAACTACTTTACCAGAAATAGAGGGAAGAGAAATAGTGTTTTTTTATGCTTCAAAAAACATGGCACCCTGTAACTAAGTCCTAGGCAAGTCTTTATATAAAAAAGGAAGAGCTTTTTTCTTGAAAATGTTTGAATAATTAGACCCATTCGTTAACATAGGCAATTTGGGTTTTCAATCAACTCCACTCTTCCTTTTTTTGATGCAAAAAATGTTTTTTCACTTGACATCTCATCACAAAAACTGTCAATAATAATTTCTGTTTATCTGAACCATGATTATTTTTATAATTTCAGCAGATTGTTCAATATTCTCCCACTTCAGTACGTGATTAAGTCCAATTGATGCAAATATCTCTGCCCCACCAAAATTATTTTACCACAGTCCAATATAAGAGATATATTGTTTATAAAAGGAATTTACATCTGTCTGTGCACTAAATTTTCTCAGTAACTGTTTTGCACCTTATGGGACAAAATTACTATTCATCCTTTAATTTTTTCAGTTCCAAAGTAATGTCTGTTGCATTTGCTTAGATTTGCCAGACGTCTGGTTTTTATGAAAGAAAACAGTGAAAAAAATTTATTTTTACAAGTTTGGTGCTATATTCTCCTCCATAAATACGATCTGTGGCCCTATATTTGCTTAACTTTTTTCCATAACTATGCAGTTTTTTTTTATTATTTAGCTGCCCATGCACAAACCAAAAATATAACTCACCTGTTTCATTTTCAAAAAATGCTTGCATAGCACATGAACTTTCTTGAGGAACAAAATATGAACCTCACCCATATACAAAACTCTTTCAACTGCTTGCAACAGAGAAAAAAATCTAGTACTTTCTTGTTGGATTATTTTTCTATATTCCACATCTTCAAAATCATTAAATTTATTTAACTCACTAAATTTAATTAATTTGCCTAAACTGTGTAGATATGAAAATAATTTTATATTTACATATCTGTGGATATTTATATATCCACACCATCTTAAAGTGTATTGTGCTCAATATGTGCACTGCAACCAATGCCAACAATATTTACACCAAGTTCTTGTTTGAGCCTGTTGTAAATATTATTTTTACCTCTTCTATGTACTTCACCAAAGTTTGTGTTACAATCGTCAGAACAAAAAGCAGTTATTTTTTTATCAATCTCATGAAAGCTACAATGTTAAAATTAGCTTATCAGTCAATATTTTAGGTGTTTCATCATCAACAAAAAAGTTTTATCTTAAATGATATAATCAGTGTTGTATTTAATATTGTATTTGTTTAATGATTATAATATAGTTATAATTATATAATTGACACATAGTTTAATTAGTTACATAATTGACATAGTGTGTAAAACATTTTAATTGTATTAAAATCTTGCATTCAAATCTAAATCTGAATTGTTGATTTGGCTTTTTGTATTTTAGCATCTTATATTGTATGAGCCAAAAATTCAAAAAGTTTTGTACATGTAGAAATAATTATAGAGATATGTGTATTGACATAATTTTGCAACTTTGAGGTACAATAATTTATAAACTGATTAAAATCATTTGAAAACACTTGTAAAAATGAATTATTTAGAGGTAAAACTATTAGTATAGAAAATTTCAGGGGATTTTTTATTTACAAACTTATAATCTGTCAAAAATCAAAATAATATACTAAAAATAAAAATCAAAAAAATATACTTTAGGCTCCAGATACTGATTTCCTTTAATATTCAATTTTTACTTTTCAACAGATTGGTTATTTAAGCTAAAATTTTCAGGAATGAGGATGTCCATAAGGTGATTTGATATGGAATGACCTATATATACAATTTACTACTTGGTACTACTTGACTTTCCATATAAACCATAAAAACAACAAAAAATTTTAAACTATTTTATTTTGATGTTAAAGTTTAAAAAATTACTTTAAAAATAATTGACATATTGAACAGTTGTTTAATATATAATTGTTTAAGTAAAAAATTTTTTATTCATGTGCTTCTCATGTTAGTAATTTTTGAACACAGTGGTCAGTTCCTTTATTTTTTGAATACAGTGTTCAGTTCCTTTAATAGGAAATAAAATGTTGAAACTTAAGTATTATATTGCTAATTGCAACTCTTATATAAAAATCCTAATTTCTGTGCCAAACTTCCAGATTATGAAATTCCAGAGATGAAACTTGATGTCATTTTACTTCCAACTTCCAAACTTTTCTGCGCCAAACTTCCAGATAAACTTGATGTCATTTTACTGTCTAAAAATAAGACCAAAGTCACTTTAAGCAGGAAAAAAAGGTTTTGAATAGTCATTTATCAATAAAAATAATAATGGTAGTAATAGTAATGAAAATAGTAAAAAATGTTTTAAATATATAATTATTTTTCAAAAAAGTTTTGATTTATTTGTCATTTACACTTAATGGATATTCATATTGAAACAATAAATAAAAAAATATATGTATAATTAAAACCTAACTTTATAATAAAACTTTTTTTTAGCAGTTTATTTCCTTATTATTATTATTTTATTTATACAGTTTATTTCTATATTATTATTAAGTTTATTTCCTTATTATTATTATTTATTTTCCTTATTATTATTATTTTCTGCATGACGCTAAAGCATAAAACTTTATTTGAAACTTTTATTTTGATGCTATAAATGAAAAACTTTGTCCATAGTGAGCAATATTTTTTGTTTTTTAGTTTCGTCAGAATATCTAAGAATATATTTCTCCATTGTACTTATGACACATTTTCAGTGGTAATTTATAAAGTGTCATCAAGTAAATAACTAAGTTAATAATTTGCTGGAAGAAAGAATCAATCTTTAACTTGCTGCTTCTAAAGCCCAATCTTGTCAAAAGTTAGATTAAAAAAATCATCAAATATGAGTGACAAAGAGGGTGGGATTTTTTCAATTTTATTTTCCATTCTATAATTTTCCATGGTATTTTGTCTTATTACTCAAGCTTATGATAGTTAGAGCTACACGTATCACATGACAGATGATGTATTGACATTGCTGTCTCCAGTATCAATTCATAATCTAGCAAGTCTAAATCTATAAGACATCTTATTTACTTGTAAAGATGCATTTGATGTCTGACTGATGTCTAAAAAATAGGCTTTAATGAAATCATCAGGTTGAAGATATTGTTTTGCATAAAAATAAACTATGTAGTAAGAAGTAAGTTTCTATTTTCAGGTTATCATTTTTTTTGAAAAAATCTAAATTTAATTAAGGATTTTTTAATGAACATTCACACACTTATACTTTGGATAATAATTTTGTTTTGTTTAGTGTTGAGTTTTTTTTTCCAAATGTTTACCAGTAAATCTTTAGTAAATCTATAGTCTTGATTTACTGACAAAATGTTGGTAAATTAATTTTTGAGTAATTTTATTTTTATGTTATCCGCAATTTTTTTTAAGCTTTGGAAAGAATCTTTTATCATACTGTTAAGTAAAATATTTTGTAAAAAAAATTAAGTAAGAAATAAATTACTTTTATCTTTCCACTTGGTTAAAAGTTCCCAATTGATTTCTGTTCACATTTTCTGTTTAATAGTTCACAAAATTTTATCTTCAGGAATTAAAGAGTTAATTAAAAAAAAAAAAATAAGATATATATATATATATATATCAGTTTTATTATTTCAACGTTACATATAATTTACTTATTGATGTTACTAATAACAGATAAAGTAATTTACACAGGTTGTCCTGTTGTACAAAAATATTTTAAATAATTATTTACATAATATTTACGGTTTCACAACATATATTTTTCAACTCTAACTTTTTATAAATGCTGTCAAATGTTTCTTCAATTTCATCTTGTTTACACAGGAACTTGTGAAAATTTTGAAAAACTTGTTTACACAGGAATTTCTGAAAATTTTGCTAATCAGAGTTTAACTCTTATATGTAGCAGTTGGAGTTAGGTGAAAATTAACCTCTGTCAAACTTTTCCTGTGACTCCCAAACTATATGAAATATGCCATTTGATTTTTATAGAAATATTTTGTAATTTTGTTAACTTTTTAAATATAAAATTGCAGTTATTAATTATCAAAGCCACACACTTCTTTGTTTTATAACACTTAATGTGTTGCTGTATGCATGTTGCTGTGTGATGTTGTATATATAATATAAATATTGTTAACTTAATTTGTTAACTTCTTTTTGTACTTATGCTTTTTTAAATGTAATTTATTTCAAATAATATTTTTGTTGTTTTTATTAATATTAGGAAATGGAGCTATCCAAATTTTTCAACTAATGAGAGGCTCCTTAGGAATGAAACCATGTTATGTAATAAATAAACATTCATCACTTGGAGTTCCATGTGTTCAGTTTCTTCCTTTGCTTGATAATTCTACACAAATGCTACTCTCTGGTGGTAATGATGGTTATTTACACTTATGGAATATCTCATCAAATAATACTGCCAATAATTTGAAACAAAAATTTCCAAAAAATCGTGTTTGTCTTGAGGATGAGTTAAAAACAATTCTATTAGATAGTTTACATATAGATTCAAAACTCAGCTCAATTGACTCTGCTGTTATTGATGGAAAATATTTTGTAGTTTTCACTGACCAGACTGCATCTGTAAAATTGCTTGATATTGAATATTAATTAAATACATTTATCTTAACAAATTTTTATCCCCAATTGATGTAGGTACTGAACTAGCCTGTCTATGCATGTTTTAGTATGACATTACAAGGACATTTTATGTTTTATTTGAATATATATATATTATATCATATATATATATATATATATATATATATATATATATATATATATATATTTAATATATATATATATATATATTTAATATATATATATATATATATTTAATATATATATATATATATATTTAATATATATATATATATATATATATATATATATATATATATATATATATATATATATATATATATATATATATATATATATATATATATATATATTAAAGAACATTTGCATATTTGCTAATGCTCTTGCAGATATTTTATTTTATTATTTTATTTATATACTATTTGAAGATGTCATCATCAATGACTTTTCATGCAATGTATGCATTATATACGTATATATGCAGATAAATATAGAAGCTAAACATATTTAATATTTTAGCCACTTTTAACATTTAAGTAACTTTTAATTATCTCTTAACTGTTAAAACAATTAAATAATTTAAGAAGTACATTATATTAATGTACTTCTTAAATACTGTTTTATAGGGCCTATTCTAGGAAAAAATTTGGACGGCGTACCCCTCGTTTGGCGGACTTTAGCAGACAAACAAAGGGGTAAAAAAACATATTATACTTTATACTTGTTTTTTTGACAAGTATAAAGTATTATAATATGTTTTTTGACATATATATAAAAATGTATACATATATTTATATATGTTTTTTTGACATGTTACTCTAATAACCTCAAACCCTGACTCTAATCCCTTATTTATTTATATTCCACACTGAAATTTAACCCTAAAGCATGTATGCGTTATAGAATGTAGAAGTTTAACTCCCCTTTTCACTTGTTGCGATGTGTACTCTCCTCCCCTCCTTCCCTCCATAAAAAAAGGAATGTAGGCTTTTGAAATATCTATTCTCTCCTTTATGAATTAAAACAGTTATAATTTAGAATTAACTCTACCAAGGTCCATTACTGAAAGAGGTCAGATATGTGTTGATAGGAAGGCATTATCCCCCCTCCCCTATGCATACACTATTTTATGTTAGCAAAATAGGATCTTTAGTCAGAAAGATTTTTTATTGATTAGCTGGCAAATAATGGACAACAATGACATTCTATTTATAAGTTATTAACCAATTTGTTATTAACAATTATTTGTTAATTTTGTCAAGTTAGAAAAGCAAACATTAACTAAGAACATTTTGCAAAACTTGTGCATACATACTTTTATATTGAACCCTTCCCTCCAATCTACCAGTCTAAAAGCTTTTGTGTGCTATTTGCAAACTCTCTTCTCCTATGAGGATACATGCTTTATGTACAACAGCATACATCAACTGACTTAAATAGGGAAAATATGCAGAAAGTGTTTATACAATGTATGTACACTGTACCTGTACATCAACTTAGGGTTTGGGTAGGTAACCTATCAATTTAAAGAAAAATTTTTTAAGTTTTCAAACTTTTTTGCAGTCTGGTTTATTAGCCTTTCAAGTGTAAATAATTTTTTTAAATTTTCTTAGATACATATCTTCACATAGCATTTATATCTTATATAGCATTTATATCTTATATACATATCTTCACTCTAGTTAAAATAAAAACTGCATTTATATCTTATATGCATATCTTTAGCAATAGTGCTTAATGAATGATATCAGAGCTCTATATTTTTGTTTGATGAGCAGCAAAAAATAACTAAATAATGTTTGATACTAAAGGTTTCATGCTTTAGCAATCATGCAGGTACATAAAGTAACAAAACTGTCCAATAAAACAAAATTGCTGAATCCCAAATTTTATTTATGAGTGTATAGTATCACCCCTTAACACTCCAGGAAAAGTATAAATTGACCTTTCAGAATGAGAATTGAAGAAGTAATGGGCTAACCACACACTTCTTTACAAATAAAAAATTGCAAAATTCAATCAAACCTACCAAATAGATATGGCAAATAAAAGAAAACCTGAAACCCAACATTGCCTGTTCAATAATTAAAAAAGTCATCTACATGAAGTAAAGTCTTAAAAAAATGCACCTCAAATAACTTTTGATATCTTTACTTTATACAAAGGTTCCAAAGAATTATTAAAGAAAAAAATAGAAATAATATCAAAGAGTCGTTGCAAAATTAAGTTTTTGCTTGACAACCCAAAGGTTAAAAAATTAAACGTTCATTTGCAAACAAAAACAGCTTTATAAGTGTTTTTGCATGTTAAGAATATTATTTTTTTTAATGGAAAAAAACATGTATTTTTACTTAATGATTGCTAACGCATGAAACTTTTAGTAGTACAATATGCATTGTGTGTGTGTGTGTGTGTGTGTGTGTGTGTGTGTGTGTGTGTGTGTGTGTGTGTGTGTGTGTAATAATAAGAATTATGTGTGTGTGTGTGTGTACACACACACACACACACATATATATATATATATATATATTATATATATATATATATATATATATATATATATATATATATATATATATATATATATATATATATATATATATATATATATATATATATATATATATATATATATGTATGAGACTACTTTTAATTTAAGTAAATTAAATTAAAAGTAGTCTCATTGAAAATTAAAATAACACACAATATTTTAAAAGTTTAATGACAATTTAATAAAGTATAATAAATGGGAAAAAAAATGTGCGAGTATGTGTATAATCAAATTACTTTGTTAAAAAAAATTAAAAATTTATTTTTTTCAAGTGCTAAATTAACTGTTTGAATATTTTTCCGAAAACTATATAAATAATATATTTATATAAATTTATATATATATATATATAAATAGATGAAGTTTTATTAAAATGTGTAAATTTTTTACAGCATATAGTGTCTTAAATAAAAAAGCAATTTTTTTATGTGCAAGTTAACAAAAATTTACTATTATAATTAGATACAATAAAATAAACAATGAAGCCTGTTGAACAAGATGAAATGTTTCCTGAAAGCGCAAGTTTCTGGGAATCTGATGAGGTTATTTCTTATTTACTAGTACTTTTTATTTTTTTGTAATAATAACCATTATTGGCTTATCTTAGTAAAAGTATTTTTTTTATGTGTAACATTTTTCATAATTGTATTGATCTTCCCATGACTGAGCAGTCATTATAGTTTTGATAATTTTTTTTTTTTTTTGACAACCCTGTCTCAATCTTACAACTCAATGAACCTGTGAAAGGTTTTCTGACCTTGACTTTGTTGATAATTTTTGTTTTCACTTGTTGTGTTTTCTCCTTTTTTTGTTTTCTGCATTGCATGGCCGACTACACGGTTTTTGAAGTGGAGGGGCACAATCGTTCTCTATATCTAGAATTTTTTTTTTTAAAAAAAGAAGGTTCTTTAGAAAAAAAGTTGGGATGGGGGCATGTCTGGCCCTCCCGGGGTTGTTGGCCCTACATTGAGAAACAAGTTGAATATGTAAGTAAAGATTGAACTTGAACTTAAGTAAAGATTGAACTTGAATGTAAAGATTGAACTTGAACTTGGTACTTGTTTCTTATGAAGCTAGTGCTTTATCGCAACACCACTACACCATAATGATTTAATGATTTTAATATTCAATATTTTTAATGAAAATGTAGCATTTGATGATTTTGTAAAACAGTTAACAAACTGAAGGTACATAGTGCATAACTTGCAGTAATGAAATGTGCATTTCAAAATTTTACATTCATTGTTAATGAAACTTGTTCCCTATTAAAACTTGATATACTTATGTGACTTAAAAAATATTGTACTGTAGTTAGTTAGGGGTGGATCAGAGATATGACTTTAAAAAGTTCTATTTTCGATAAAGTTTTGGTAAAATTCTATTTTTAGTAAGACTTGCAAATGATTTTTGCAAAAAAGGTTCTTTAGGTTTATAAAGTATGAACATTATAAACTCAAAAGAAATTTTTTTGAATATGTTTCATATTTGGTTGGATATATCAAATCTGGCATTATATCATATAAAAATATAATAAATTATCTAGTAAATTTATTTAGGTATCTGATTGGAAATTTTATCCTGTTCATTTCTAGTGATACAATAGAAAGGTTGTTAACTAATCAAAACTAATTAAAACAGGTTTTCACAATAAAATGTAAAGTATATTAATCTTTATTATCTTAGAAATAAAACAGACAATTTATTTAGTTAAGTCAAAGGGTATAGATTTTTTTTTCTATGTATGTTTAGGGTGATAACTTTTAGAAATTAGATAATTAAATAAAATTTTTAGGTTTATAAAATATCTTTGTTTTAAATTGTTTAAATATTGCTACTTGGTGGTTTTGTTAATTATTGCTACTTTGTGGTTTTCATAAAAGCTTGTTGTTCTGAATCAAATTAAGATATTTTAAATGCAAATTAAATTTTATCAATTTAAGTAAACACTTATTTTTTTGTCTATTTTTTAAAATTATTTATAATAGTTATATATTTTTACATTCAATTTTGTTATTTATTTTTTCACATTTATTTTAGGAGAAATTAGGTTAAAGCTTTTGCAATACAAGACCTTATAAAAGTTAAAAAAGAATTTATTATTAAGTTAAATCAATTTCATATCTTTAATATATGCTACTACTATACAGGCATATTGTGGCACCATTTTTATTTTATAGCTATTATTATATATTAGTTAACTAAAAATAAAATTATTGTTGGAATTAGGTTGTTTATTTATTACACATATTTTGATAAAAGTAGATTGTCAATTTTTTTTTTCCGTTTTCCTAAAGTAAAATAGTTGCATTTCATGGTTTTTACTAAGTATTAGCCATATATGCTAAAAAGGGTCAATAAATAACAGCTAAAATACATGTAAGTAGTGATTATTTAATGATGACATTGATTTGAATGTTTCAGCATGTCCATATACAAAAGAAAAAATCAACCTCAAAGGTATGTTTTAGATC